TATTGGTAAGACGAAGGTAATGGTGAGTGAGGAAGGTGATAAGTAAAATAGACCCCTGTAAGGTATGTGACAGGAGAGTGAAGGCTAACTCGGTATTGTGTATAGGATGTCAGAAGTGGGTGCATAAAAGATGTAGTGGTGTGAGGGGGCACTGAAAAAGGTTGAAGGCACGTCCAAATGTAAGAAATGTGATCATGGTGCAATTAATAGGACGGACGCAAGGACGGGGTTGAGTGGTGGTATTGAAAGAATGGAAAGCTTTGTTTATTTAGGGGTTAAGCTGAACGCGGATGGAGGATGTTTGAGCGCTGTTACGGCTAGAGTTTATGTGGAATGGATGAAATTTAGGGAACTGGGTGGGGTATTTTGTGGAAAGAAATGGTCAGTGAAGATGAAAGAGAGGGTATATAAAGCATATGTGAGAGCAGCGATAGTATATGGTGGTAAAACTTGGATGTTGAGGAGAGAGGAAGAAAGTGTACTGCAGAGGGCTGAAAGAGCTATGGTTAGGATGATGTGTGAGGTTAAAGTGAAGGATAGAAGTAGTACAGAGATGATGTCGATGATGGGACTGAATGAGGACATTGTGACATTGATAAGGAGATCGAGATTGCGGTGGTATGGACATGTGTTGAGAAGGGATGAAAGGGTCTGGATTAGGCGAACGTTGGAGTTCGAGGTTGAAGGAGTGATAGGAAGGGGTCGTCCGCGATTGGGATGGAGAGCAGATGAAGAAGAACAGAGTGAAAGCGGGGTTGCGTGATACTGAGGCGAGTGACAGATGTGAATGGTATCGAGGGGTATTTCGGTTTCATCATAGGTAGCCAAACGGCAACCCCCGATCTCTGGGAAAATGTCGCCTAAACGTGTGTTGTTGTTGTTGTAATTCTTGTTATGATCCGATAATTTTGAAAACATATAAAAAGAAACTTACGGAAGATCAAATAATTTGACGACAGTGCAAAATACAACTATATATATATACGGAGGTTCTTGATTTTTCCACAAGAAAGCAACAAGACTGGTTTGATTAGAATTCTGACCTTCAGTAAGCAAATAATAAAAAATAACAAAACGGCAGGACTAGACGGTATCTCAATAAAAATATTCAAATATGGTGGTCTTTACCAGCAGCTGCATAATTTCATTCTTCGAGTGTGGATTACTGGCATGGTACCACAGTAATGGAATGATGCAAACATTGCAACTTTCAGCAAAAAGAAAGACAATAAACAATCCTGTAGTAACAATCGTGGCATATTATTATTATTATTATTCTCTCTTAAATATTTCTCAGAGGTTATTACAACAAACACACAGCATATAAATACACGTGAATCAACTCATCCCGGTTTTTGCATAAGATAGGCGGGAATCTCTATACATTTCATCAATAATGCCAGGCACCTTAATCATTACACCATCGAGCCGCCCCTTGCTTTTTTATATTCTTGCTATCCACCGCAGACAAGATCCTGGTGCATGTCATGTTAAAATGACTCCAAAAACACATTGAATGTTATCATTCCAAAAACGCAATGTGGCTTTCAAGGTGTACGTAGCACCACTGATATGATCTTAGCTGTATGCCTCATGATGGAAAAGGGCTGCGAACAAAGCCAGGATATTTTCTTGGCATTCATAGATCTGACGAAGGCTTTTAACAGAGTAATTAGACTTGTTGTGGATGATTCTGAAAAGATTTGGCTGCTTGCCAAAATTTCTGGCAGTACTTCATGAACTTTGTAATGGTATGAGGGCTAAAGTTATTGTTGGTGGTTATTGTAAAGAATCCAAACCATTTAATGTTATGGTGAAGGTTAAACAGGGCTGTGTTCTGGCTCCACTAACCATTAATTTGTTTCTGACTGCCACCGTTCTCATCTATCGTAATGGTTATCCATCTGATGTGGACATTTCATTTTGCTATCGTCTTGACGGCAGCCTCTTTAACATACAATGACTCAAGGTGGAAAGCAAAGTAATACACGATAGGATTCTTGAATTCCAATATGCTGACGACGCTGTCTTCTCCGCCAACACCATCTCCGCTCTCCACAATAGTCTTAATGCCTTGTCATGTTCCTTGTCATGTGTCAAGTCATGCAGGACTTGACAACACAGCAAAAACCAAAGTACTCTTTCTTGTCACAAATGAATCAATTAACATTATCATCTTTCGTGGTTCACAGAGATGCTTTCAAAGATGCACAGGAATTAACGAACCTTGGTAGTGTGCTTAGCATTGACTGAGATCAAACATTGCATTATGGTGGCGTCAGCTGCTTATGATAACAGGCAAGTTACGTCTTTTTGAAAAACAATCTTACGGTGATGATAAAGATTGCTGCGTACAAAGTTGTTTGCATAAAAAAGTTGATTTGATATCTTCAGATCTCTCGGACCACTTTCCTATTCTTTGTATATCAAAAATTTTGCAAAAGAAGAATTTGTCTATATTTATAATATTAATGACAATATTAATGATAATAATTAATAAACTAACAATAATAATGATAATAAAAGAGATTCAATATACAGTCAGACCTCTGTACAATGAACTTGAAAGTTCCAGGAAATAAATTCACTATATAGAAATTTTGTTATATACAATTTGTTTCTGGAAAGAATTAGTTCCGGATAGAATTTAATATTGCTTAAAAGGTGTATATGTGCTATATATTATATATGTAATATATATATATGCTACATATATTTATGAAAAACAACCTCTAAATCATTTATTGTTATAACAAAAAGTAATAATAAATAGCATAATTGCAAAAAATATGAAAAACGACATAAGATTATATGTATGTATGTACATCAGAGATGTTTTCAAGTACTTTTCCTCAAGTAAGCACAAGTACTCAGGTCTCAAGTACCAAAAAAAATTTTCTGAGTGCAAGTACCTACACCTCAAGTACAAATACAAGTACTATTGTTCATGTTTAAGTACTTTATCTAAAATGCGAAAGACAAATAACAAAGAGAACACTAAACAACAAAACAAATAAATAACTTTCAAGTTTTTTCAAATCAAACCAATGTTTCAAATAAGAAAAAATTTGATCAAGTATATTGTTAAGGATGTATCAGACTTAATTTTTCTGAAGCTGGATTTACAAATACCAATCCAACAAGAGCGATAGTCACAAGCAAATTTGTGCACAGTGCAATTTGTGGCTATGGTTTCATTAGCTTGCCTATAGTTTGTCTCAAACCCAGCATAAAACCTTGTTACATTACATTCCTATCAATAAATAACTTAAATTTAATGCAAATTGAATAAATATCTCTTCATCAATTACTACCATATGCAAACATACACATAAAAACAATCATACATTAAAACTTATATGTATAATAAAAAAAATGTGTGATTATGCATGCATGTGCTTCACACATTAACACATTTTGATAAACAAATTTCTTAATCTATTTGCTTGGTGTTATTGTCTGGCCATTCAAAAGTAATTAAGATATAATCAAGATAATCACATCAATCAGATGGTCCAGATGTTTCACATATTATATATACTATACTTTCATTAAATAACACACACTAACATACACGTTCACATTTAGACAAATAAATGTATGTATGTGTAAACGTAGACATACATGTGGTATATTAAAACTTAGATGACAAAAAATCTTGCTCAAATCTGAAATCAGGCTCAATTTTGATCTAGCTGAATTTGAAAAAATGGCCAAAATCTCTAAACAAAGTATTAGTTTCTTTAAAATTTGTAACAATAACTTTGTACATTTTGTTCAGAAAAATTTCAAGTACAAGTACATTGTAAAATAACAGGTACAAGTATGAGTACAAGTACAAATCACTGCAAGTACCACATCACTAATTATATGTATAAAGAAAAAAGCATAATACATAAAACAGTAATGCAAAATGTAACTTAACTTTTTACTATGGTCAACAACTATTTACAACAAAAAACAATAAACATGGTTCTTGGAAATTAAAAGAGTTCAAAAACACTGCTCATATCAATTCATAGAATGTTTGTCAGTCGGATATTTCTTTTAACTTTTATAAATTTTGTTCATTATAGAAAAATTTTTTGTTATTTATAAATGTTTCCAAGGGACAAAAAAATTTGTTATATAGAGATTATCATTGTATAGAAGTTCGTTATAAGGAGGTCTGGCTGTATTTTTACCATTTTTCTAAGGTATGGAAACAACCCTGTCAATTTGCTAGGTAACGAAACATATTTATAAAAAAGAAATAAAAACTTTCGTGGCTCTGAATGTTATTAATTAAAAAAACTACATCTTTTTTCTTAAAACAAAACCATTAATTTTTAACATTTTTTAGAGAAAAGTAATGAAACTTCCATGTTAAGTTGCAAGATAAAGAAATGTTTACATAAACATGAAAATATAGAAAAAATTTGTTTTTTTATGTCTGAATGTCTACAAAAGAAAACAATAAAAAATAATGTTCTATTTGAAAACCAAAATTTTTTTTAAACAGATTATTTTCTAATGTTTTTTCAAAGCATAGCAACTGTCTTGTTGACTTGTATAATAAAACATTTTTTTTTAAATATAAAAGTTATTTTTTGCTTTGTCTCAATGTCTATATATAAAAACAATAAAAAAAGATCTTTAATTTAAAAAACTAAATGCTTTACCTTCTTAATACAGATTTAATTTTTAACTGTTTTTCAAATAAAAGTATGGCAAAAGTCTGACTAGTTTTCCATTTTAATTAATCTACTGATTCAATGCTGTTGAACCTAATCATTTCCTATCAGTAGCAGGATCACTCTTTCATATTTGAACCTGCACACTAGGTGCACTGCAAAATAAGACCAATCACCTTTAACCACTATTATTCAAATTCCAAAACAGTAAAACATTCTCTTAAAAGCAGTAAGCTTTAAGTTTAAAATTTAAATCAATTAGATCTAAGTAAATAAGACAAGCAAAAGAATGGAATTATTAAGCTTCAATTTTTAAAGTTTACTAACCAATCAGATGCCAGCTGTATACCTTTATCTCCAGTGGCTGCCAATGCCTTTTCCCTAAAAAATGAATTTTGTAATTTGCAATTTACGATTAATTGACATCACATTATTATTAACAATAGCCAATGATTTTGTTTTAACAAATATTAACTGACAAGATTTAATATGAAAAAACTAACACTCTATTTTTTGGAAATCCCATTTGAACAAGAATTTCTGCAGAGGTTTGGCTTCTCAAAATGGTTAGTGCCTGTTTGTCACTTTTCAATTTTCTTGGGGGAAGTTCAAGTGTAGAAGTCATGTTTATCTTTGCTAAAAATATATGTAAAAATTTTAAATTCGTCAGAAAAACAAAAACACATAAAAACGGAGCTTTTAAAACCAAATCGATTACATTAATATTAATAGGACGTAAATGGGGAACCAAGATTTTTAATTATTTAAAAACTAATGAACAAAGATAACAAAATTAATTTTCCAGCCTGTAACATTTAAGCAAGGCATCGAACCGGAACTGAATCGTAACCGAAAACCGTTAAAAACCGAAATTTTGCTCGAAACAAAAACCGTAACCGAACCGAAATATTGTTTGCTAGTTTAACCGAAACCGAAAACCGTAACGAAATAAATAACGGTTCGATGCTAAAAAGTTAAAAGAAAATATTTTTGTAAAATTCAGAAAAAATGATTTAGATAATATTTTTTCCATGTTAATTTTTGTTATCTTTGAAAATTAAACCTCTCTTTTTTTAGTTTTTTTTACTGACTGAGTTCGCTGATAATTTGAGTAAGAATAGCCACGTGAAGTGAAATCCAGTATAATCGGAGAAATTAGAGATCAAGTGCGATCATCTTCAAAATTTTGAAGTACCAGCTACACAAGTGAGCCTTGATGCATCTGTCTCTGGATTAAAATTTATCCTCAGAGATTGCAGAAGTGGTTTCAATGAAAACATTTTAGATGATATATTAATAATCAGAAGAAATTGAACAAAGAAATGACTAAAAATTTAGAAGGTTTCTGGAAGGTGTCAGATAGATTTTTGTTAGTCAAAAAACAAGCAAAATATTTCAAACTAGCTGTTATTCAAGTTTATACGCCAAAGTCTGAATGTAGTGATCAGTGGCGGACTAAGCCTAAAGCGGGCCCTAGGCAACATTGGAATTCCGGGCCTATTTTTCAGTAATGACAAACACTTTATGTTCGATAGTTTGGTTTTAACGAATATGGTATGTAAATCAGTTACAAAAATTTAAAAAAAATGTACACAAATTAAAGAAACATCATTTATTAAAAAAACAAACATAAACGTAATTTATTAAAACAGTAATATAAATACACCAAGACTGATATATCTATATAATTGCCTTTTTTCTCACTTTCAGTTCTGCAAACTGGTCAATTAGTTTGTCATAGTTAATAGAATTATTCAACAACTATTTTCTATATAAAGTAATGATAAGCTATTTAATTTTTGTTGGCCCAACGTGGATCTTAAAAAATTCTTTATTTTACCCATTACTGAAAATGATCTTTCACCACTTGCATTGCTTACCGGAAGGGTTAAATAAATTCTCAGAATTACATTTAAATTAGGAAATGTTGCAATAATATTATTTTCCTGAATAAATGACCACATGGATACAGGCGAAGGCGAAATAATATTTTCTTTACTTATAAAAGTCTTAAATTGAACTACTTCGTTTTTCAGTTCTTTTGGGTTTAAATCTTGTCCATAACATTTTAATTCCTGTAATGAAGAGTAATTGATATCACTGTCATAAAAAATTGTTTTAAATTTATTATTAATAGTTTTGTATGCTTCACATCTTTTCTTAATGTTGCTAATTAAAGAATCGCATACAACAAAAAAAATATTCACTTTAAAATGTTCTTTGCCACTGAGTCATATTTCAAGTTCTGGAGTTTCATCATGAAATAGTTTTCGTATTTTCTGTCGCTTTTTATCATTAATATATGCAATATCTTTAACTTTTTCTGCTTCTTTTTCTAAATGATCAAAATCGTCTCTAACAGTTTGTATGAAATCTATTAGCGAATCATAAATTAGAACTGCTGTATTTAAGGATTCGTCTTTTTGCTGAAGAGTCTTGTTTGAAGCATCTATTCTTTCTAAAAAAATTTCCCATATAGTAAGTAACAGTACATACTCAAATGTATCAAGTTTTTTGTATAAATCGGCAGCTTTTGATCTTGTTAATGGTTTCTCATCATTGTTTGAGGAAAAATGGCGTAAACAATGTTTAATTTCGTCATAATTTTCCTTCAAGGCTTTTACAGCATCGGAACGAGCTGACCATCTGGTGTCACAAACAGGTTAAATATTCAAGTGCTTGCTCTTACAAATTTTTTTTAATTCATTCCACCTATGTGTAGAACTTGAAAAAAATACGTACAATTCTTGAACGATATTGAAAAAAGTGGTTATTTCCATGCAACTTTCGGCAGCAGCATTTCCAATTAAATTTAATGAATGATTTGAGCATGGTATGAAATGAGCAGAAAAAATATGTTGTTTTATTCTGGATTGGAGTCCCTTATATTTACCTGACATATTAAATGCGTTATCATAACTTTGTCCTCGACGATTAATGATGTCTAAATCAATGCTATTTAAAAATTCTAAAATAACTTTTTCCAAGTTATTACCAGTATGAGAAAATATATGTAGAAATCCCAAAAATCTTTCTTTTATACCACTTGGAAGAACGTACCGAATAATAACTGTAAGCTGATCTACATGAAATACATCAGGGGTTGAATCAATAATTAGAGAATAAAATTTAGCTTCCTTTATTTCGTTCAGTATCGTGAGTTGCAAATCTTTCGATATAATCAAAATAAATTCATCACATATGGTAGATGACAAATAACTTATAGTTCCGGTGCCGCAATTTGCATATCTTTTCATGTATTCACGCAAAAATGGATCAAACTCGGATAAATATTCTAAAGCACCTATATAATTACCATTATTTTCACTAAAAAGAACTTCATTTTTACCACGAAATGCTAAAGAATATGAAGAAATAAATTTGAATGTTGCTACCACACGTTTAAGTACCTCCCTCCAGTATTTTTTTTCATTCATAATTTGTTTTTCCAATTCAGTATCAATACGCCCAGTAATTTTAGATCTTTTTATATAAATTAAAATTGAGTTAATGTGGTTGCTGGAGTTTTTCTGGATTATTTTTTCACATTTTTCACATGGACATTTTTTATGGATGTTTTTCCAATCATTCGTTCCTTTTGCCATTAGTGTTGTTTGCTTGGAAAATAATTTACAGACGTAACAGTACAATAAGTTGTTGGTTTGAGTATAAGCCAGCCAATCTCTTTTAACTTTTTCTTCACTATTAATTGTTCTGAAGAAGGAAGCGATAGTTAATTTTCTTGTGAATTGTTTTGACCCTTCGTTGCATCGAATTGAAGATGATTCTAGCGATCCATTTATCGATTTTGGTGGATTTTTGACATAATACTCTAGCATGGCGTCTGTTAGGTATTTTGGCCATAAAGCAATGTTGTTTACAAAACTCTCAGTTTCATCATTACTTTCAGATGATTTAATATATATATATCTTCTTTTGCTTCATCTTCACAATCGGAATTACTCAGTTTTTCCCGCTGATATTTCTGCTGAGTAGATTCACATTCGTGAGATGCTTCTGGAGTTTGAGCAGGTAAAATTTGTGAAAATGATGATGATTGTTGTGATTTTTCGTCCTCCACAATTAAAAATTTGTTTAACGATCTTTTCATTTGTTCTGCAACTTTATCTCGATCTGCTTTTCGTTTTCTTTTTTCACTTCCACTTAAATGCTTATAGGAACTCATTATAAATTAAAGACCACGTACTAAAAATAAAAAAAATCAATTAACATTATTTTTACTCAATTATAATAAAATCACACTTTGTAGTATTACTGATTTATAAAGCCCTTCTTGTGAGTAATCTTCAGATATCAGTATCAATTGAATAATGTAATGTAATATTTCCACAAAACTCACATTTTAAATTAACGAATTCCAGAAATTATTAACTATCAATCCAAAACTAAAAACTAAACAAATCAAAATCTATTGACAAAGCAATTTTATAAATGACCGATATTCAACTTTGACGATTTTTCAAAATGGCAGAAAACGGGCTTTTTTCAAATTTATAACACGAGATTAGTTCAATGTTCATTATTTCTTCCAGCAACAAAGAACCAATGAGCATTTAATTATAAAAATTGAAAAGTGAATAATTTAATACTTTTATAAAAACTCCCATTTTTTTGTAAAAATTCCAGAAAATGAATCCAAAAAATATTTTGCAAAGCAATTTTAAAAATATTCGATATTCATTTTTGCCGATTTTTCAAAATGGTTTCATTGCGCTTTCTTGTTAAATTTAGAATTTGAGATTTGTTCAATGTTAATGTTTAGCATTTCTATTAAAACCAAAAAAAACCATAAAAATATAATTATAAAAATTAAAAAAAAGTTAAAATCGAATTTCCGAGCCCCCAAAAATTACGGGCCCTAGGCAATTGCCTAGTCAGCCTAGGCCTTAGTCCGCCCCTGGTAGTGATGAAGACCTTGATGCATTTTACAGTGATCTTGATGATTCTTTAAAAACATGTAAATCTCAAGAAGTTGTTATGATGGGTGACTTGAATGCAAAAGTTGGCTCAGAAAAAATACATGATGTAGTTGGTCCTCATGGGATAAGTGAAAGAAATGAAAGAGAAGGAAAGTTGATTGAATGGTGTGTCACAACTGGTCAAATTATAACCAACACCTAGTTTGACAATCACCCAAAGAAAAAATATACTAAGAAGAGTTCAGGAGACAATGTAGAAAATATGATTGATTTATTACAATAAATAGACGATTTTGGAATGCTGTTTTACAATGCAAAAGTTACCCTGGAGATGATTGTGGCAGTAATCATAGCCCAGTTGTTTGTAAAATCAGAATAAAGTTAAAGAAATTAAAAAAAAGTGGCCCCAAAACGTTTGAATTTTGTCAGTCTGAAACAAAATAATGAGATCAAGGTCAAGTATAACGTCAAAGTACGGAATCGTTTTCAGTTATTGACGAAAGTCGTAAATAAATCTAAATATGAAATATTTAGAGAGGCCATCACAGAATCAATAAGGAAAGTTATACCTGAGAAAGAGCAAAGAGTAAATGGATGACAGATGACATCTTATCTCTGATGGATGAACGAAGGGAAGTGAAATGTTGCAATCCTGATAGCTACAAAAAACTGGACAAAACAATCAAAAAAATGCGCTTAGAGGCAAAGGAAACATTGTTAAATGACAAGTGCGTAATCATTGAAAAGATCAAAAACAGTAATACAAATGCAATGTAAAAATAGCATCAAAAAATCACTGGAAAAAGAGTTTGTACCGTTTTTGGATGCATAAAAGCTAAATCCGATGAAGTAATCTTAGAGAAGTATTTGAAAGTTGGACTGAATAAATTAACGATCCTTTCGATGATAACCGTGGTAAAAAGCCTCTTTTTAAAAAGACGTAAAAGGCGTAAAAAAGACTGCTATTTCCAAAATGAAATCAAATAAAGCGCCAGGTCCAGATGAGATAGTTGTTGAAGAAATTAAATGTCTTGATGAATTTGGCATTGAAAAAGTGACGGAAATTTTGAATAAGATTTATATATATATATATATATATAATAATTATATATATATACGTTGGTAAAAGACCATAATTTTCACAATATTCTATAATAAACGAACAAACTACAAACAGATTATTAGCGCCAAACATTCTGTGATTTTATAGAAAAATGTTATTATATATATATATATATATATATATATATATATATATATATATATATATATATATATATATATATATATATAAGATATAACAAATATGGAAAATTCCTTATTATCGATAAATATATCATCGTGAAAAGGAGGCTGTAATAATTTTATAATCTTTGATAATTTCGCCATATTTTTTGAAAACAAAAATGTTTCGTATGTTTTGTGACCGTTATTAACTCAATTATAAAAATTGCTAAAAAAAATCTTAGAATATCAAAAATATTAACGTAAAGTTGTCCCAAGATCACTTAGTTAGAATCATTTTTTAATGCTGTCTTCAGAAGTGGTATGCATTGACGAAGGTAATGTTCGCGACGGTTCGAACTCAGCGACGGTGAAGCATATGTAAAAGACGAATTATGAAAAAACCGATTAAATAAAAAATAATCAAAGGTTTACTGAAATGAAAAAATATTTATTTTTGTTCCTTGTTATTTATAACATTTTAACTTTATTCAAATTAAAAATTGTATAAAACAGGCTTGTCCAACCAGCGGCCCGCCGTTAGAATCCAACCCCCCAAATGTTTTCATCCGGCCCGCCGGCCTTCTTAGAAAAATATTCAAAATATAAAATGTAAAGTATTTTCATTGAGTTGGTTAGATTAAATTTTAAACTTTATAAAAATAATTTTTAATTTAAACTCTTGTATTAATAAAAACATTAATTAATATTACGACCGCGGTTCATTTAAAATATTTTCCTTGACGACGCAAAGGACAACG